GGCACCTTTAAATTTATGATATTATGGTAATAGTACAATACTGTTGATATGTCTATATTATATTGCTTAAAGAGGAAACCGTCTAGATGTCTTTGAATAAGTAGCCTGTGTTTTAAGCCTGACCACTATGTCCACTTAAGTTTCTACTGTGATTCAGAGTGAAGTGTGTACAGGCTGCTCTTAATTGTTTAGTTGTAGTACAATTAGTTTATTAGTAATGAAGATCATCACTTTAATTGGACACAAAGTAGTAGCTAATGGTTCAGCGTGATGACATAAGGAGTATTTAATGGTGAAAATGTAAAGATAGCTGTAAGGCAGTGAGGCAGCTGAATGTCTGGAGGTGAAGTAAAGTGTCCAGTAAAGATCAAGCACTGTGTTCCACATAAGACTGTACAGTGGAGGAAAATATAATGATAAATCAATAGATTGATTAACAGATAATTAACGGGATTAACACTTCAGTATTATTTAGTTTTTGTGTTACTTATTTATATGAGTAAACACACTTATCGGTTTATTAACAGTGTAATAATCAGCAGTTACTGCACTATTGACTAAGTAGTTAATCAGGAACTAAAGCTTGTTGTAATTAATGCTTAAAGCATACATATTTATAACTGGTTTTCTGAATCACTTAGCAATTTGTCTCCTTAGATTCTAATTTAGATTTTTTTTTAATGAAAAAAAAAAATGTTAGGATATAATAATAATAATAATAATAATAATAATAATTCCTAGCCAAAATCTTGAGCTCTATCCTACTTGCATTAGCTTAAGGTATAGTTTTCTAAGTAAACTATGAAATAGATCCATTATTTGATTTGAGTAAGAACATCAGCGCAATGATGTAACCGTAATGTAAAATACACTTTACGATACTGATCAAATCAGTTGGACATTCCTTATGAATAAACAATATAAGAAATAGAAGACCTTACCTGCACAGCATGTGGAGGAAGTTGGAGATGCAGTTGTCTCAGTTCTGGGTGAAGTGACCTGTCCTTCTGTTACAGATATATCAGGTGAAGTTTCTGATGAAGATTCTGTCTTTGAAGTCATATTAGTTGTAGACATGAATATTTCTGGTTCAGCAGTAGATGAAGGAGCCTGACTTCTGGTAGGTGATGCTGGTGCTGAACTAGTATCGGTGGTATAGTCAGCTGTAGCTGTGGCAGACTGACTAAGTTGACCAGTGGTAGAAACTACAGTAGTTGAAAAATCAAGTGTATCCTGTTTCACAGATGTTGGTTCAGTTGACATGAATGAGGTTTGGGTCAAAGTAGATGTTGTTGTAGGCATGAATATTTCTGGTTCAGTAGCAGATGAAAGAGCCTGACTTCTGGTAGGTGATGCTGGTGCTGAACTAGTATCGGTGGTATAGTCAGCTGTAGCTGTGGCAGACTGACTAAGTTGACCAGTGGTAGAAACTACAGTAGTTGGAAAATCAAGTGTATCCTGTCTCACAGATGTTGGTTCAGTTGACGTGAATGAGGTTTGGGTCAAAGTAGATGTTGTTGTAGAAGTGGGCAGTTGCCCTGCTGTGGTAGAAGTTTGTTCATTAAGTAACTGTGTTGGAGTTACTGGCTCCATTGTAGTTACAGAGTCGTCTGAGTATGCAGTCACAGTTGTTTTCTTGTCTGTTAATATTACTTGCATATCTCTTGTTGAAGCGTCTGGCAAATTTACAGTTGTAGGTTTTGATGTTTCCTCAGAAGCTGCATGCCCAAATGATCTTGATGTCTCTGATAAAGTTACAGAATCAGACACTGTTAATGCTACTGGTGACACTGCTGATAATTGAAATTCATTGGGCTTTTCAAATGAAGAACTTGTAATTGAACTATGATCAACTGCTGACAAGTGTTGTAATTTGAGTACTAGATGTAAGAGTTAAAATAAATCGCGTTAAAAAGTTATCACGATATGATATGGTTTTGATTATGATTGTGTGGCCACATGGATGTGCATATGTTCTAGAGGTACATCTGCAAGTGACTCAGATACATTTTGAGATCAGTATTTGCAAAGCTCTGAACAAAAATGCATCTGCCAGATTTACACACAGCAATCTGATTTGTGTCACTTTAACTCTGTAATGTGACCATAGCCTAAGCTAATGACCCACATTTACCTTACTAGATTAAAGGGCTGGTCCACTAATTGTATTTTTTTTATTGTATATTTATTAATATATGCTAATTAAATATTAATAATTATACTTTCATGCATGCTAGTCTAGTAAAATTCAGAATTTCCCTTCATTTTTTGAGTTGTTTAATGGTACAATATGCCATATGAAAAGAGGTTTTCTGGGATCACTGTTAGCAATTTGTCTCTTTGGTTCACTTGGTTCTAATTACTGGATTACCTTTTAAATAAAACAATAATAAAATGTAATAAAAATAATAATAATAATAATAATAATAATAATGATATAGAAACAGTAGACTTTACCTGCACAGTATGTAGGTATTGGAAGTAATACCGCTGGCTTGACGAGTCTGTAAACGTAGTAATTTCCTGGGCAGGCTTTGACTTGGATTGGGTTTGATCTGTAGGAATTACATTGTCTACTATCAACTGAGGAAACGTATGTTCCAAAGATTTCTCTGGTGACGATGCCGTCCTGTGGTTGAGGATGAGATCCGCCAAGTAAAAGTGCAGTGTAACCACCACAGGTCACAAAACTCCAGCACCAGTTAGATTCAGGAATCTGAGCACTTTGACCCTGAAGATACAGACGATACCAGCCACTCCATTCAAGAAGAGTGTCATCAAAGCTACCATGGTAGAACCCACTATCTGTTCTTCTCCAATTATTATCAAGAACACTGTAGAGACTGCAGGGGTCAAAAGTCATGTTGTTTGCAGTGTCTGCTGTGGAAACAGAATCATAAGAAGCAGTTATTTTCTGTACAAACCTCACTGTTTCATGCTCAAAATTACAGAACAACACTTTAGTTCAGAAACAACTTATAGGATAGTAGTGTAGTGTAATGTAGTAGAGTGGTGTGTAATCCCAAGTCATTATGTGATCCTCAATATTTAAGTCACCCGAAGTGTTTTTGTTTGACATATGTAGAATATATCCATAAAGCCATTATTGTTTATTTAGACAAAGTATGTAATAGCTAAAATACTGTTAGATCTTCTGAAAACCTACTAGTGTTTATATTTGATGCAGCAACACTGGTCACATTCGTCGGGGCAGTGTTCGGAGTAATGGTGTTCACATCTGAAGAAAACACAAATTTATACAAACCTTAAAGTCTAATAAACTTTGGCAACACTCATTAAAAAAACACAAAATCTTATATAACAATCAAAGTACCTGCACAGTAAGCAGCAACACAGGAGTCAGGCCTGACGAACTCATAGACGTAATAGTTTCCTGGACATGCTTTGACTCGAATAGGGGTGGATCTGTAGTAACAGCAGTCACTTCCTGAACTCCCACAGACCCCACGAGTGACTATTCCATCCTCTATCTGAGGGTGAGATCCATTCAGCCACAGAGCAATATCAGTACCACATCTGGACTGATTAACACAGCTCTCTGGCATACGGACACTCATCTCATTATACAGCAGCCGATACCAGCCATTCCAGTTGAAGAATCTGTCACAGATCCACAGTCCAGTTGCATTAGTGGCTCTCCAGGGTTGATCCAGAGACGTGTAATTGTTGCAGGGATCATTAGATGTAGCTGCTGTTGAAACCAATAAAATATGCATCAATTTATTTATATGTTGTTGCTGTCATGACAAAGCCTTTTATCTCCAGTTTGTCCTTTTTAATATTTGACAATTTAAAATTAAAAACTTTCTTTATATTGTATCAGAATTTGGCACCCCTGGTAAAGATGAGTAAAAGCGTTAAAAGGAATTCACACTTTGGTGAATTAGCTTTATTTCACTGGAAAAAGAGAAAAATTCAACATTTAATTGAAGTATATTTATTCTGGGTGAAGAAAATCCGTCATCAACAAATTATTATTTTTAACAAAAGCACATGTGCCACAGTTATTGGCATACATGATGTGACACAGAGCTCAAATTCCTTTAGTCACTCTTAACATGGGAAAGACAAGAGACATGCAATTTACATAAGAGAAAAGAGTGTTGACCTACATGAGTCAGGGAACTGCAGAAAAATATCTACTCTCCAGAAAAAGCCCACATCTACAGTTAGGGCAATAATTAAAATGTAAATCAACTGGAACTGTGACAAACTTGCCAGGATGAGGACCCAAGTTTATTTTGCCCCCAGGCACAGTGAGGAGGATATGAGATGCAAAAAATCTCCAATGATCACTGTTGGAAAGTTACAGAAAAAGAATAGCATGGGGTCAGCAAGTCTCCAAAGCTACCATAAAATGCCACCTCCATGCCAACAGATTATTTGGAAGGCATGCCAGGAAAAAACCTCTGCTGTCATCTAACCACAAATATAAGGGCCTCAAATTTGTTAAACATTACTGGAACTTTGACTGGAACCAGGGCAGATGAAATTAAAATTGAGATTTTTGCAACAAACATTCAAAGTAGGTTTGGCTTAAAAAGCAAGATGATTACACTGAAAAGAGCCTGATGCCCACTGTGAAGTATGGTAGAAAGTTGCTGAAAGGAGCTGTTGTTCCTCCAAAGGCCATGGGCATCTTGTTAGGGTCTCCATAAAATACTGGGACATTACAAATTAAAAGTCTGCCTCTGCCATAAAACTAAAATTGGGTTGTTATTGGATCTTCCAGCAAGACAATGAGCCACAACATATGTCCAGATCAACACAAAATCAAGTTTCTGAATACAAAATCAGATAAATAACTAAACACTGTACAATATGAACACAGAATCAAGCTTATGCCATTATAATCTCGTTCCCCTGAACTAAGCCCCATAGAAAACCTGTGGAGTGAGCTAAAGAGGAGTGTGCACAAGAGAAGACCTAAGACCCAGAGAAGCTTTTGATTTGAGCTCAGCTTGCAAACTCCCCAAATTTGCAAGAATCTGTATGTAATTTGGTCCTTTGCATTTGAATTAACCATGTCACCTGATCCTAACAATACTGGACAAAAGAGAGAGCTGGAACAATTATTGTTAGTAAAGAAAAAGCCCAGAGAGGCAGAAGTGGTTTCTAAAGTTGACCTCGATGCCACCATATAGAAGAAAATTACCAAGGCCCTTTAAAAAAACAGTGATGTTCTGGTAGCTATGGCCATGAAAGAAGCTCTTGCTGCCATTCTTGCACCTCAGTTGGCATCTCTGGAAGCTAAGATTTCTTTGGTGCATGAGGTTTTAAGAAATTAGTGGTGGATCAATCCACTGTAGATTCCATACAAATGGCAATTCGCTTGAACAAGCGTAAGATCAGCATCACAGCTAACAAGCTGGCTAAGATCGAGGTCAAGTTGATGGAACTACAGGACAGGAGCCGAAAGAACAGTCTTAGGCTAATCAACCTGCCTGAGTCAGCTGCAGGCTCCGACTGCATGGGATTTGTATGGTCGTACCATTTAAACCAACCATTGCCATCATATATATGTGATAGCAAGCCAAGAAACCTTGCACGATCATTTTTCAGCTGCTGAGGCAATTCTAAAGAGTTTTTTTGGGGGATTCTGGACATTTTGAGGATTTTGAGGCTGTGTTTATGTTTAGCAAAATCTGTAGGAGCTTAGCGTCCTTGTGGTTTGCACCTTTTCCTGTTGCTTTTCCTTCCCTTCCCATTCCCTCCAGATGTTTTCTATCTACCCAAAAATGGTTCCTTTAGCTTTAATTCTGGAGTCTCATTTAAAGACTGTTGATGTCAATTTTCAAAACGTTTTAAAATTTTAGCACATTTTTTCACCCTAATGAAACAGAAGGACTAGATAGGACACTTGCGTTAACCCTTCAATATTCTTTCAATAATGAGGATGATTGATTTGTTCTAGTAGTTTTTAGTATTTGTCAGGTCAGAATGGCAGTAGAATCAGGGTATGCACCCAATAATTATGGTCTGGATTTTCTTCTCAGCCCAAATCTACCCATGTTGGTTCCAGATCATGCTCTTGTTTTGCATTTTTTTTCCCCTGATGTTATACATACAAGATCCACAAAATGTCACTTTAACACCTCTTTATTGCTGAGTGGTACCTTTCTAGAGCAAATAAACACAAGGTTGGCAGAACTTCGAGATTAACGGTGCACAGTGTGACAAACCTCAGATTCTTTGGAAAGCAACAAGTGTTTTATAAGCTTTTGCATTTATTTTTCTTCCAATCTCAATACTATTAGGAACAAATAGTTGAATTACAGTCTAAAATTAACCTATTGAAATCAAGAAAAAATCTGAATCCTTCTGACAATCCCTCCATGCATGCTGCTTTATGAGCCAAACATAATAAATTGTCTCAGTCCAAAGCTGAGTTCATCTTACTTTTTACTAGGCAGACATATTATGAAGAATGTGAGGTCTCATCGTTTCTTTGCCTTGAGATTTAGGGAAAGCAAATCTAAACTGAGATCTTAAGGAACAAGTTTTGTTTGAATCTTCTGCCATTATTAAAGGTTTTAAGGATTTTTACTTTAATTGTAACACGTTAAAAATCAAGTGGGATCCCTCTGAGTGTAGATTTCTTGAGCAACTGGATTAACTTTCTCCCAGTGAAGCTGATCAGTTGGAATCACCTTTTACATTGGCGAAATTAAGTGATGCACTTGCGTCTTTAAATGAAGGCAAAACTCAAGGATTAGATGGCCTCCCTCCAAAGCTATGTTAGCACTTTGGGACAAAATTGGAAACCTTCTCTTAACTTCCTTTAATTATGCCATAGACTGTGGTAGTTTCCACAGAGACTAAAACATGGCTCTTATTTCTTATCTGTTAAAAAATGGAAAGATTAAGAACGTTGTGTTTGAATGTTTCCTAAACTCTCTGCTGTCTGCTTTTTTGGATTTAGTAGCATGATGAATTGTTATGTTCATGTATACTATGTAGATATTTTGTATCCTAATGTCTCTCTAACCCTTTATGTTGTTTTTGCATCATTCATATTTTACATTACAATATAGACGCCACTTACCCTGTACAATTGTTTGTTAACTTACATCTGATCTATAACTATGTTAATGGTTATGAACACTTTATGGTTTTGCTCTGCATACTTCAAATCTAAGAAAAAGGTAATTGCTGTGTAAATACTGTGTACAAAATTATGTTTTTGTACGGTTTTGTTTCCATCATATTACAGAGAACTTACCAGTAGACATATGAATTAATATAGAAAGAATTATTGCACTTGAAAAAATATATATTTTAATGTTGTCAGTTGCAGGTACCTGTCTATCACATATGCATCACATACACATGTTTTCTGAAGGAATTCAGTAGTACTCTTCATTACTTTTTAACTTTTCAGCATTAAAGGCTAAAATATACCCAATTTTTCTTACATTAGTTGGTATGTACTTACATAATACACTTGTATGCATCAAATATTTATTACTTGTACATATCACATTTTAGCATTAAATTATCATTTAATAACTATGTATGTGCAAATTATGTACCAGAAAATGACTTTTAACTACTACATATTTACCTATTAAACACTAGATATATACTGTACAGTAAAAAAGTGCTATCAAAATCACTGTCAAAGGTACCTCTGCATGGGTTGCTGCTATTGATAGACATAAGCAGCTGTAGTTTCCAATAGCATTGGTGCAGTTTGCATTTAGACCCCACACTTCAGTAATCTCAGTACATTCACAAACAAAGAGACTTTTAAACATTCTCCACATTAACTTGTGTATTGGCTACTGCTATTTCAGAAAAAAAAATCCATCTATTCAAATATAGGTCATGGAGACCTATACTTAGAGTGTTCTCAGAAGTAATGGTTGTCTCTCTAGTTATTTGTTTTAAGAAATGTACTCATTTAAGAATTTAAGAAAAGACAGAGGTAAGCATGTAATATGAAAACATTTGAAGCAGCAAGTGCAGTATCTTCTAACATAAAATTACAGAAATGTCCAAGTACCATCTCGAAGATGTATGGTGTACCCGTTTTTATGTCTGACGCATAATACATGAAAAATATTAGTGTCATTGGCAATTACTACAAATTTTGATTTTGAAACATGCCTCTGTGCTAATAGAAATGCGCAGATTTGACACATTATACTCATTCAGGCATTTGCAACTGTAGTTTCCAATAGCATTGGTACAGTTTGCTTTGGACAGTTTACATTGGATGGTGTAGTTGAGGGTACAAAAGACAATATTGCTGACCCTTCCACAAGCGAAATAATGATATGATGTGTACACTGATGCAGTATTTACATGGCAATTATAGATGTCTGCATATGTTGTCACGGCAAGGACGCATAATCAGGACTCAGATATTCAATTCTCAATTTGATAGAGACCTAATCACCTTTCATCAAACTGACTTTTTTTGATATATTGATTTAGACAGCATAGCTGGCATTGACTTTTCATGTACATCATGCTGATGGAATGTCAATATGGCCGCGGGACACTTTTTCCAGGTATGGCGAATACTACCTGTATGGCCTACTGCTATTTCAAAGATAATCCATCTATTCTCACACTTATGGAGGCTTATATTTGAAGTGAACTGGTTGTCTTAGCAGTCGTTTGTTTCAAGAAGGGGACTTATTTAAGTGTTTAAGAAAAGATTTTATTTTTTTTTTCCCTAGGCCA